GGAACCAGACAAAGGGAGCAGTGTAGACACAACATTTAGGACGTGGACTTAGCAACACGGCTAGAAACAGGAGCTGGTGGATCAAAACTGTGTACCTTTCAGTTGGCAGCGCAAGTTCTTAGCACTAGGCCACCAGAGCTCCCTGTTGTTGTTGTTGGTAGCTCTCATTGAGTGAAGTAGAACTCAGAGTGACCCTGTGAACAACAGATCTGAACCTTGTCCTGATCTGTGCCATCTCCACAATCTGACACACTCAAGTCCATTGCTGAAGTCATTTTGTCAACCCACCTGGTTGACGGCCTTCCTCTCCTTTGCTGTCCCTCCACCTTTCCAAGCTTTATGCTCCACTGCAAGGAATAGCCTCTCCTAGCAACACGCCCAAAATTTGTGACTTGAGGCTTTACCATCTTTGCCTCCATGGAGCACTGTGGCTGCATCTTCTCTAAAAGACTTACCTGTTTGTTCTTTAGGCAGTCCATGGGATCTTCAGCAATCTTTTCCAAGACCACATTTCAAAGACATCAATTACTCTTCTGTCATCCTTATTTATTCAGCTTTCAGCAGCCTAGCAAGTGCTTAAAAAGACTGTGATGTGTATTAGACACACTTAAGACCTCAAATTGACATCGTTGCTGCTCAGCTATTTGGAGAGACTGCAGACGTTTCTGGTATAGTATATCCTGATCTCCTGACTGCTGGTACCAAGTACATTGATTGTGGACGAAATTCAGATGAACTTACTTGACAATGTCACTCTTTTCTCTATCAGTGATGTTGTCTTATGGCCCAGGGTTATGAAATTTTGGGGTTTTTTTTATGTTTAGAGAAATATGTATTGAAGGCTATAGTCTGATTTTCTGTAGCAAATGCTTCAAGTCTTCCTCACGTTGAACAAGCCAGGTTGTGTCATCTGCATAATGTAGGTTACCTATGAGTCTTCCTTTGATCTAGATGCCACATTCTTTTTCATAGGTGTGGAGAGAGGCTACAACCTTGGCACACACCTTTCCTAATTTTAAACCATGTAGTGACCTGACAGAGTGTGGAAATTATTGAAAAATTTCATTAATATCACATGCAAGCAAGGTTCTGCTGAAAATGATCCAAAAACAATTGGCACAATATGTCAGCCAGATTTGCAGGCTGGGTTTACAAGACGTTGTACTGGGAATATTATAGCTGATGTTAGATGAATCTTAGCTGAAAGCACAGAATACCAGAGGAATGTCTATCTGTGTTTCATTGACTATGCAGAGGCATTTGACTGTGTGGATCACAGCAAACTGTGGCTGACTCTGAGAAGAATGGGAATCCCAGGACACTAGATTGTGCTTATGTGAAACTTTTATTTGGACGAGGAGGCGGTCGTCAGAACAGAGCAAGGAGACACTGTGTCATTTAAAATCGGGAAGGGTGTAGCAGGCATGTGTTCTGTCTCCATACCTTTTCAGACTCTCTGCAGAACAGATCACCCAAAGACAGACCTATTTGTTTCCTTGGTAGTCTTTGGTGTGTTCAAGACCTGCTTGTGATTTACTTTTAGGATCTGTTAGAAGTCATTTTCCACTTGATGGCACACAACACCAAAAATAACAGAATTCATGTCATGTAAACTAGAACCATCCTACTAATATCAGAAAGGAGGAAATTGTGAGAGAGGAGGGGGGGTGTCAACATTTGCTGACTACTTAGCATGTATTTACATTTTGTGCAGATTCATTGCTATATTACATTTATTCCTCGGTAACAGGCCTTTCAGGAGCTCTGGTGGCACCGTGCATCTATGATTTGAATCCCTATACAGTATTATTGTTATAATGTGCCATCGAGTCAGCTACGACTCATCGTAACCCTTTATACAATAGCTCTGAACCCTGCCTTATCCTGAGCCATCCTCACCATCTCTGACTTCCTGGGCCCATTGCCTCAGTCACTGTGTGAATAGGTCTGATCCAGGGTCTTCCTCTCCTGCACTGACCCTCCACCCTTCCAAGCTTGCTGTGCTTCTCCAAGGACTGGACCCTCCTGAAAAAAAGGCTAACATATATAAGATGGAGCTTTATAATCCTAGCCTCCAAGGAGCAACTTGGTTTCACCCTTTCCAGGACAGACCTGTTTGTTCTCTTGTTGGCCCATGGTGTATGTTCAGTACTTTTCTCCAGCACCACAACTCGAAGGTATCAGTTCTTCCTTCATTCTTGGTCATTGCGCAGCTCTGAAATGCACAGGAAGCAACTGAGACGACTATGGCCTGTGGCAGGCACACCTTAGTCTCTAGACTGATTTTGTTACTTTTTAACACTCTGGAGAGGTTCCTGAAGGCAAATTTTACTAATGTCAGTTGTCTTTTGATATCTTTACTGCTGGTGCCAAGATTATTGATTGTGAATCTGAGTTCCCTCTATCTATCTATGCCAGTTGGCCCAGTGGTGAGAATCCTTTGTTTCTTAATGCTGAAGTGCAATCCATATTGGAGACTAAGGTCCTTGACCATCTGTAGCAAACACATCACACTGAATGGCAGCACCCAGATTCAGGGTGTCAGGAGGCCCAGAGCACCACCATCTCCAGGGAGCAGAGGGATGAGGAATGGAGGGAAGTAGTTGGAAGAAGGAGCCATCACATTTAGCCTAGCCATGCCTAGCAGCCTAATAAACCCTTCTAGCTACCCTCTGTATGATAGAACGGAACCCTGCCAGAGCCTGTATCATCCTCACAAGCTCTGTTGTGCCAAGGTCATGGTTGCAGCCACTGTGTCAGTTCAACTCATGGAGGGCCTTCCTGGCTTTCACTGACTTTCCTCCAGACAACATATCCCAAGGATATCTGACAAAATCTTGCAGTATTTGCTTCTGTGCAACACTCTGGCTGTGCCTCTCCCCACTCAGATTAGTTTGTTCTCTTGGCAGTCTATGCTGTATTCAGTACTGTTTACCAAAATTCAATCTAAAGCATAATTTCTTATTCATTGTCTTTTACTTGCATATGAAGAAGCTGATAATACCACTGTTTGGATCAGCACACCGTAGTGTCTCTCTCTCTGTGTGTGTGTGTGTGTGTGTAGATTAGTGCTGGGCCTTAGTCTTTAAACTGACATCCTTGCTCTTTAGCCCTTTAAAGAGGTCCCTGACTGCTGATTTGCCCATTGCAGTGTATCTTTTGAATTTTTGACTGCTCCTTCCATGGATGTAGATTGTTTAGTCAGAGAAAATGAAATCAGTTGACCCCTTCAGCCTTGATTCCATGATACTACTTTTTTGGACCATTGTGGGGATGTTTGTTTTCTTGATGTTGAGGTGCAGTCCATACAGCAGTCTTTGATGTTCTGCTTCTGAAATGCATTTTAAGTGCTCCAAATTGTCAGTTTCTCAAAGCAAGTTTGTGCCATTTGCATAACAAGAGTCATTGAATTATATACCTCTAGGTGGTTGAAGATTTGAGCATATGCTAAATGTTGCCCGTCCAAAATCTAATCTCTTTCCAGAGTATTAGCAGAAGTTTTCATGAAATGCCTAATAGTTGTTATGTGCCATAGAGATAGTCCTTAAACTTGCTCTATCCTGTGCCAACCTTATTGTCCCTGGAACACCTCCGCACATTACCCTAGTCACTGAATCAATCAATCGATCTCATTAAAGGCCTTCCTCTCTTTCTCTGTCCCTCCACCCTTCCAAGCAAGATGTCTCTATCCAGGGACCGTTCTCACCTTTCCATAGGCCCGATATGTGTCAGTCAAAGCCTCAGAATCCTTGGTTCTAAGGAGCAGCTTTGGTTTCCCCTCTCTAGAACGAACCTGTATATTTTGATATGTTAGGGGATGAGAAAAGCCTGTTTTTAAGTAGCTTATTTTCTTGCAGAGCATTCTCATTTGCTGTGATTGCTATTACTGGAGGTTATATAATTTCCTATTATGGGTCTGTATTTTATCCCATGTTATGTTGTTTACCCTGGTTCAAAATTGGGAAGGGCGTACACCAGGGGTGTTTCCTGTCTCCATACCTTTTCAACCTGTATGCAGAGCAGATTATCCGGGAGGCTGGGCTCTATAAGGAGGAACATGGGGTCAAGATTGGTGGAAAATCTATCAACAATCTGCGATATGCAGATGACACAACCCTGCTTGCGGAAAGTGAGGAGGACCTGAAGCGCTTGCTGCAGAGGGTCAAGGACTGCAGCCTTCAGTATGGATTGAGGCTCAATGTCAAGAAGACAAAAAATCTCACTACTGGGCCAATTGGCAGCATCAGGATAGATGGTTAAGAGATTGAGATTGTTCACAGCTTTAGTTTGCTTGGCTCCACTGTCAACACTCTCGGCACCAGTAGCCAGGAAATTAAAAGACATATTGTGATGGGGAAGTCTGCTGTTAGGGACCTCTCCAAAGTATTGAAGAGCAATGGTGTCTCTCTGGGACTAAGGTGCATCTGATACAGGTCATGGTCTTTGCAGTCACTTGTTCTGCAACAGAGAGCTAGATAGTGACTAAGGAGGATAGAAGGGAAATTGATGCCTTTGAGCTGTGGTGCTGGAGAAGAGTATTGAGGGTACCATGGACTGCTAGGAAAACAAACAGATTCATCCTGGAAAGGGTTAAACCGGGCGGCTCCTTGGAGGCTAGGATTCTGAGGCTCCGTCTAACATAGTTTGGACATGTTGTAAGGAGGGACCAGTCCTTGGAGAGGAACATCATGCTTGGTAGGGTGGAGGGACAGCGCAGGAGGGGAAGGCCCTCTATGAGGTGGATTGATTCAGTCACTGGGGCAATTGGGATGGGTGTGTCAGAGATGGTGCGATTGGCACAGGACAGAGCAGAGTTTAGGGCTGTTGTACATAGGGTCGCTATGAGTCGCAAGTGACTCGACGGCACATAACAACAACAACATATCTGACTCTGGTCTGTTGCCATCTTTATGTTGATAATGAATCCTTTTCCAGGAGTGTGATGATTTTGGCTTTGAATTGAGGTTTATATATTTACCTGCAGGAGTCAGAAAGAAGCAATGCAGAAATCCGAATGCCATGGCAGTGTCCAGATGAGACCCAGAGTACCAGGTATGGGATTTGAAGAGATGAATTTTGCAAGGGACATTTTCTGTTACCGTGACTGTTGAAGATGAGCTTTGTGACTGTTGAAGATGAGCTTTCCACCTTCTGGTTGTTCTGCTTTTCCTAGGTAACTGTGACCAGAGGGCACCATCAAGTGTCCAAGTAAAACACAGGACTGCAGACCCGCGAAGCAGATCCTCACTCTCAGCCAGTTCCCCGGACTCTGCGAGAAAGCCTCGTCCTCGACCAAGTGATAAACTGAACCCTAAAACTATTAACCCGGTAGGTCAAAAAACCGGAGACCGAATTAAGTATCGTTTTCTCGCAGTAGTAGACTCTGAGCACACTGTTGAATATTTTGAGCAGTGCTAGTGATGAAGGAAGAGTAATGCGGCAATTGGGGTATAGCTGGAGACGACTGATTTTTATGTAGGCGTATGTATCGAGGAGAGAAAAAGGAAATTAAAAATGAACCAGTCTTTGTGTCTTCTCACATTCACGAGTGTGCACTTTAGGGCATAAGGCAAATCCATTATCTTTATTTCTTATTTATTATGACTTTTATTTCTAAACATCAGTGAATCAACTTTTATTCATTTGCCACAGTATCAGTTACATGCTCCAAAAATTGAATACAGGTCTCTGATTTTTCCTTTAAATTAGCTCCATCAGAAGTTTTAACCATCAGACTCTTAGCCCTTTCAGAGTACAAAGGTCAAATTCTGTGTTTATATTCTTAAATAAATATTCTAAACATCTGGATTTCACCTGGTGATATGCATAGGAATCAGATCTATTATATCTGTGAAAAGAATAGCTGGAGAAGCTCAATATCAGCTGTGAAAACTAGATCAGGTGCTGTTTGTGGAACGAACCACCAAATACTTATATGCAAGTTCAAGCTGAAGCTAAGGAAAATTAAATCCACAGGAACCAAAATATGACCTTGAGTCTATCCCACCTGAATTTCAAAACCATCTCAGGAACAGGTTTGAGGCTAGGGACACTAATAAGTGAAGACCAAATGAGCTGTGGGAGGATATCAAGAATATCATCCAGGAAGAGTGCAAAAGCTCATTACAAAGACAGGAGGAAGAAAAGACCAAGATAGATGTCAGAAGAGACTCTGAATATTTCACTAGAGCACCGAGAAGCCAAAGCACAGGGAAGAAATCAAGATATTAAGGAATTGAAAAGAAGATTTCAAAGGGCAGCATGGGAAGACAAAGTAAAATATTACAATGAAATGTACAAAGAGTTTGAGTCAGAAAATCAAAGGTCTGAACTCACTTAGCATTTCTTTAGCTCAAGGAACTGAAGAACAAATTCAAGCCTCAAGGTGCAATACTTAAAGATGCTTTGGGCAGAATATTAAATGATCCAGGAAGCATTTAAAAAAGATGAAAAGAGTATACAGAGTCATTGTACCAAAAGGAATTGGTGGACACAGAAGAATTTAATGAAACAATGTATGAGCAGGAACCTGTGGTGATGAAGAAAGAAGTTCAAGCTATACTGAAAGAATTGGCAAAAAATAAGGTCCCAGGAATTGACGGGATACCAATTGACATATTTCAACAAACAGACACTGCCCTGGGTTTGCTCACCATGTTGTGCCAGGAAATCTGGAGGCTAACTGACTGGTATAGATCTATATTTGTGTCTATTCCAAAGAAAGGTGGCCTGACAGAATGCAGAAATTATTGAACAATATCGCTAATAATACATGCAAGTAAGATTCTGCTGAAAATTATCCAGAAATGACTGAATAGGGCTTCAGCAGAGAACTCCCTGAATTGCAGGCTGGGTTTAGAAGAGGTCATGGTACTAGTGATATTATAGCTAATATTAGATGGATCTTGGCTGAAAGCAGTGAGCACCAGAGCAATGTCTATCTGTGTTTCATTGACTTTACGAAGGCATTTGACTGTGTGGATAACAACAGACTGTGGCTGAGGAGAATGGGAATCCCAGAACACTTGATTGTGCTTATGCAAAGCCTATACTTGGACCTGGAGGCAGTCATCAGAACAGAGCAAGGAAACTACATGGTTCAAAATCAGGAAGGGTGTACGCCAGGGATGTGTCCTATCCCCTTACCTTTTCAATCTATATGCAAAACAAATCATCTAGCTGGAAGGCTGGGCTCTATGAGGAAAAGTATTGGATCAGGATTGGAGGTAGACTCATCAACAATCTGAGTTATGTAGATGACAAAACCCTGCTTGCTGAAACTGAGGAGGACCTTAAGTACTTGCTGTAGAAGGTCAAGGACTACAGCCTTCAATATGGATTGAAGCTCAACATTAAAACAAAGATTCTCACCACTGGGCCGATGGGCAGCATGATGATAGATGGTGAAGAGATTGAAATTGTTCATAGCTTTAGTTTGCTTGCCTCCACAATCAATACTCTTGGTAACAGCAACCAGGAAATTAAAAGACTAATTGTATTAGGAAAGTTGGCTGTCAGAGACCTCCAGATTACTGAGGAGCTATGATGTTAGTCTGGAGACTAAGGTGTGCCTGATCCAGGCCATAGTCTTTGCAGTCACTTGGTATGCATCAGAAAGCTGGACAGTGACTACGGATGATAGAAGGAGAGTTGAGGCCTTTGATCTGTGGTGCTGGAGTATTGAATATACCATGGACTACTAGGAGAACAAACTTGTTCAGCCTAGAGAGAGTGAGACCAGGCTGCTCCTTGGAGGCAAGGATTCTGAAGCTCCATCTTACATACTTTGGACATGTTGCAAGGAAGGACCAGTCCTTGGAAAGACCTGCTTGGGAGGGTGGAGAGACAGCACAGGAGAGGAAGACCCTTGATGAGATGAATTGATTCAGTGACTGGGATAATGGGGGCGGGTGTGTCAGAGACAGTAAGATTGGCACAGAATAGAACAAGGTTTAGGGCTTTTGTACATAGGGTCACTATGAGTTTTGGGCGACTCAATAGCACATACCAACAACAACAAAATATTTGGTTTTATTATTTTTTTTTAGAAGTCTTAATTTCATCTTTAAAATGGTCTGATAAATTCATGTTTTAGAATTTAGACAACTGTGCTTCATTTGATTATGTTCAGAATGTTGGTGTGTATTCTCTAGTCAGAATCTACCCACAGCTGACCTTGCAGCAAATTTTTAGAAGCATATAATTACATAGGAGGAAATTTTTCTAAAGATTCTCCTGTGGAATAGCTGGCGGCGTCGAACTGTGTACCTGTGGGTTGGCAATGCAATACTTACAGGTTTTTGATATTTAATATAGCAGAAGCAAAGTTTAACGTTCCACAACCTAATCAGACACAGCAACCAGGCATGTTTAAGTGTTTGTTGAAATAGAGTCTCTGACTGTCTGTACCATCCATATTTGGCTGGAGGACACTGATAGCAGGAATGGGTTACTGCCTGAAAACAAAGAGGCTTTCCTTGACTTCCCATCTCTTCCCTAACAGAAAGATCACAATGAGGATAAAGTGGGAAAATATATCACTTAATGGTTCCCTTGAGTTCCTCGGTCACAAGTTTAGCGGAGGGAGTTACTTCACAATGGGTGCTTGGTTCTACTAGTGCTGGGAGGACTGTTTTTGACTTTCAGTCCCTTTGCTGAATGAAAACTAGTCTTGATATGAGCATCATTACTTGGAAGTTGACAGGGTATTTCCCTCTGACCTGAGCAGGAATAAAACCGACACAGTATTGGTATGCGGAGGTGCTGGTCATAATGACTGCATTTTTGTCTTTCTCAATTTCAGTTTGAGGATCAGCCACGAGCCCCATCTGCATTTGCCGCTATTTACTCTAAGGGAGGTATTCCTTGCAGGTAAAATCAACACATGTTATAATTAATTACATTATTCAGAATAATTGAGTAAAATCCAGACATTATTCACTTTATAGATGTGGAAAGTTTAATTCAGTAGCGAGGTTGAAATAGCCGTGGCTTATTCACACTTGGGTTGGCACAGCTCTCTGGACATTGTTGAAGAAAGCTGTTCTACCAAAGTGTCATCACCTAGAAGTCTACAGCAGACCGACAGATAGCCAGTGGTAGCCAGCTCTGGGTTCCTGAAATTGTAAATACGTATTCCTGTTGAATTTATAAGTTTGAAAATTGGCAACATGGTGGAATTGTTTCTTTTTCTTTATGAGCCTGTGTAGCTCTTCTTGCTTTCTTTTGGCTGTAATTCTTACCACTTCTTTGGGCAGAAATCAGAATTATTTTAAAGAAAACACTTAAGTTTTTAGTAGTGTGATTCCAGTTTAAGACGTTACTACAGAGAAGCATTAAAGTGCATTTAGTTTTGCCTTTTCTAAGTGATAATTCTGCTGTAATTGTGAATCATTACAATATGTTTGTTTGTTTCAGTGAAATTTTGACATCTAGAGAATTGCAATAAAAATAAGTTTTAAAAGCATTTTCCAGTTGGTTATTATGACTTCCATGTTCGGATTCCCAATTGAAGCCTTCTTGGAAGGCTTTCAGCAGTTTCTTTTTGGTACAGTAGCAGAACCTATGCTTCTGAGGCCTCTTGCTATAAAGCTAACAGTGCTAAAGAAAGAAGTCAGGAAGACCATCACAAGGGGCTATGAAAAATGATTGAAGATGATAGATGATAGATGTCACTATATTGACAATACAGATTTCAGAACTCATCACATCTACACTTTAGATAGCTGTACTTCATTAGTTATTGCTGGCAGCCAATTAAAGGCTGTTCTCAGAAGGGAGCAGCATTTATCAAATTCCAGGGCTACTTTCAGTACCCCTTCCCCTTTCCGGGCCTTTCCACTTTTCTGGCTTCATTTCTTATCTCTCTAGAAAAGATGAACTCTCCCCTGCCTTCTTGTCATTGATGCTAGAGGTGTAGGTTATAGAGCCTAAAACTATGGATGAATTACCCTGGCATTAAAATTCACGCATAAAACGCTGGAGCATTAAATCTGTAGGCCTAACCAATGGAGCTTTGTTGGGTTTTCTCACCAAACAGTATTGCTGAGACAGTAGGATTCTGTAGAATTAGACATGTTGCTTTTACAGATGACTTTAACACATCATGTGCAGCCACGATGACTTGTCAGTTTGCTAATGGAAGGGTGGGGGTTCCAGTCCCCCTGCCGAATGAGTACTCTAAAGATTTACAGCGTCAGAAACCCGGTAGAGCGTTGCAATCCTAGTACTCTGACATACAACACAATAGTTCAAAATACAGTTGTGTCTTGTAAACAATATGTATAAAATTAGATAAATCACTGTTTAATTTGCAGTTGTATTTCCCTTGACGCACTCAGTCCTTTTTCTGTTTTAGGTTGGTGCATGGTTCTGTAAGACACAGGTTACAATGGGAATGTCCTCCTGAAAATCTCCCATTCGATCCTCTGCTTATTACTTTAGCTGAGGTAACTATTCCATCTTTTCCGAATATTTATGAGCAACGGGGAACTTTACAAATTGCTCTAAGAACTGTCTTGTAACTCTGAAACAAATAATTCTGTAGTTTTGAAAAGAGAAACAAACAAACAAACAAAATAGTGCTCTCTTTTTACCCAATCTCAGGATTAGAGTCAGGAAATCAGGAGATGCATTGTACTGGGGAATTCTACAGTTAGGGCCCTTTTCCAATTACTGGGAAGTAATGAGTAGGTTGAGGACTAAGGTGCATCTGATTCAGACCATGGTCTTTTTTTTTTCTTTTTTTTTTTCTATAATTATATTTTATTAATTTTCATAAACATTTACAGAGATTTTGGGCTTCCACTCATTCATTGTTGCACTATTCTCTCTACCCTCCTCCCAGTTTGTTCTTGTCCAAATGCCACAATGCTTGTCAAAGCCAGTTCTGATTAATCTTCTTTGTCAGTGTATCCTTTGCCATTCCCTATCACTCCTCCCTGAGAGAGACTTCACCCTGAGTCATAAGGAAAAGGGGACGGCGTATTCTCTTAGCTACTTCCTGCTGAAAAGGGACGCTGTGGGTTTCAGGGTGAAGATCTTCTCTCACTACTCTAAAGGGCCCCTTTGGCAGTAGGAAACACATAGACTATTATGAAGATTGATTTTGGAATTCAGATGCACTCTTATTGATTGTGCTTGGCTGTACATGTACATATCCTTGAAGATGTATCATGGGGGTGTTGCAACCTAGAAGACACAAATTTGACTAACAAGTTATAAGTACATGAGTCCAAAAATTATGGAAAAGTAAAAGAAAAGATTCTTTCATTGTTTTACAAACCCTCCCCCAGGTCCCCTCCACCATGCAGCCCTCGCTCTAGTCTCCTGTGATGACAGAAATACCCAGTTACATCTCTCTTTTAAACGGTTCTCTCCCTCCTCTGTTTCAGTGCAGTATACATTATTGAACCCATCTTACTCAGTCTCTCCCCAACCCCAAGGACAGTCCCATTCTACAACAGTGGCATCATGTAATATTTGTCCTTTTGTGACTGGGATATTTCACTCAGCATAATGTTCTCCAGAGTCAACCATTTTGAATAATATTGCATGAGTTCCTTGTCTGCATCTAGAGCTGGACGATGAATAAGCATGATAGAAGAATTGATGCCTTTGTTCTGTGTTGTTAGAGCACTGAGCATCCCATGGGTGACCAAGAGAACAAAAAAAAAATATATCTTGGGAGAGGGTGCAGCCAGAGTGCTCTTTGGAGACAAGAATGATAGTGATTTGCCTCACATGCTTCGGGCATGTTGCTAGGAGCAGCTCTTCATTGCTTGGAGAGGAATTTGATACTTGGAAAGGCAGAAGGTTGGTGAAGGAGAAGAAGACCCTCAACCAAGTGGATTGACATGATGACTGCTGCAGTGGGCTCTAGTGTGTCAGAAAGTGTGAGGATGGCGCAGACAGGACAGGGTTTGGATCTATTGTTCATAACATTGCTACAGGTTGTGCTTGACTCTGTGGCACCTAACAACAAGAATTAACTATAATCAATATATTTAAATTTGGAGCTTGACAATTGGCTTTGTAAACATGAAATTATTTTAGGCCAGGATTGGTAAAAAATGATTTGTATAGAACTGCTTTCAGTTGGTTTGGAGACAGTTGTATATTTTCAGGACAATATCGTGAAAGTAATTTTTAAAAGCAATAATTTGAGGTTTCTTTATATAATTTCATATTTGTATTGGGTGTAAAAGGAACTCTAGTTATGGCATTGTCGGAAGCACTTGTTCCTAACCAAATGTTAGCCCTTTGAACCTCGTAGCCATTTGAGAGAGAAAGTGGTAGCCGTTTTTTCCACAAATCTCATCCTTGGGACCCCTGTGGGGTAGTCCTTAACTGCCTTTCAAAGTTACTGTGAGGCGCAGTCAACCTGATGGCGCAGAGCAGCAACAACACAATGTAAGTTGGAATCAAATCAGTGGTAGTGAGATTGGGTTTTGGTTTATCTGGAAATAAGTTTAAAGGAAGCTCTGGTGGCCTGTTGGGGAGAAGCTACTCTTCCATGATGACGGGTGGCTCAAATCTATCATCTGCCCCACAGGAACAGTTTAATTCCTCTGAAAACTTGTAGACCGGACACAATAGCGAATCACAAAATTACAAAGTTACATACTTGAAAGTAAATCTAACTAGAGACACAAAGAAAGGTGACCCAACAGAGTGTGGAAACTATAGAACAGTCTCACTGATTTCACATGCAAGCAAGATTTTACTGAAGATTATCCAAAAATGACTGAAACAGTACATCACCAGAGAGCTACCAGAAGTCCAGGCTGGGTTTAGAAGGGGTCGTGGTACTAGGGATATTGTAGCTGATGTTAGATGGATTTTAGCTGAAAGCACAGAATACCAGAGGAATGTCTATCTGTGTTTCATTGACTATGCAGAGGCATTTGACTGTGTGGATCACAGCAAACTGTGGCTGACTCTGAGAAGAATGGGAATCCCAGGACACTAGATTGTGCTTATGTGAAACTTTTATTTGGACGAGGAGGCGGTCGTCAGAACAGAGCAAGGAGACACTGTGTCATTTAAAATCGGGAAGGGTGTAGCAGGCATGTGTTCTGTCTCCATACCTTTTCAGACTCTCTGCAGAACAGATCACCCAAAGACAGACCTATTTGTTTCCTTGGTAGTCTTTGGTGTGTTCAAGACCTGCTTGTGATTTACTTTTAGGATCTGTTAGAAGTCATTTTCCACTTGATGGCACACAACACCAAAAATAACAGAATTCATGTCATGTAAACTAGAACCATCCTACTAATATCAGAAAGGAGGAAATTGTGAGAGAGGAGGGGGGGTGTCAACATTTGCTGACTACTTAGCATGTATTTACATTTTGTGCAGATTCATTGCTATATTACATTTATTCCTCGGTAACAGGCCTTTCAGGAGCTCTGGTGGCACCGTGCATCTATGATTTGAATCCCTATACAGTATTATTGTTATAATGTGCCATCGAGTCAGCTACGACTCATCGTAACCCTTTATACAATAGCTCTGAACCCTGCCTTATCCTGAGCCATCCTCACCATCTCTGACTTCCTGGGCCCATTGCCTCAGTCACTGTGTGAATAGGTCTGATCCAGGGTCTTCCTCTCCTGCACTGACCCTCCACCCTTCCAAGCTTGCTGTGCTTCTCCAAGGACTGGACCCTCCTGAAAAAAAGGCTAACATATATAAGATGGAGCTTTATAATCCTAGCCTCCAAGGAGCAACTTGGTTTCACCCTTTCCAGGACAGACCTGTTTGTTCTCTTGTTGGCCCATGGTGTATGTTCAGTACTTTTCTCCAGCACCACAACTCGAAGGTATCAGTTCTTCCTTCATTCTTGGTCATTGCGCAGCTCTGAAATGCACAGGAAGCAACTGAGACGACTATGGCCTGTGGCAGGCACACCTTAGTCTCTAGACTGATTTTGTTACTTTTTAACACTCTGGAGAGGTTCCTGAAGGCAAATTTTACTAATGTCAGTTGTCTTTTGATATCTTTACTGCTGGTGCCAAGATTATTGATTGTGAATCTGAGTTCCCTCTATCTATCTATGCCAGTTGGCCCAGTGGTGAGAATCCTTTGTTTCTTAATGCTGAAGTGCAATCCATATTGGAGACTAAGGTCCTTGACCATCTGTAGCAAACACATCACACTGAATGGCAGCACCCAGATTCAGGGTGTCAGGAGGCCCAGAGCACCACCATCTCCAGGGAGCAGAGGGATGAGGAATGGAGGGAAGTAGTTGGAAGAAGGAGCCATCACATTTAGCCTAGCCATGCCTAGCAGCCTAATAAACCCTTCTAGCTACCCTCTGTATGATAGAACGGAACCCTGCCAGAGCCTGTATCATCCTCACAAGCTCTGTTGTGCCAAGGTCATGGTTGCAGCCACTGTGTCAGTTCAACTCATGGAGGGCCTTCCTGGCTTTCACTGACTTTCCTCCAGACAACATATCCCAAGGATATCTGACAAAATCTTGCAGTATTTGCTTCTGTGCAACACTCTGGCTGTGCCTCTCCCCACTCAGATTAGTTTGTTCTCTTGGCAGTCTATGCTGTATTCAGTACTGTTTACCAAAATTCAATCTAAAGCATAATTTCTTATTCATTGTCTTTTACTTGCATATGAAGAAGCTGATAATACCACTGTTTGGATCAGCACACCGTAGTGTCTCTCTCTCTGTGTGTGTGTGTGTGTGTGTAGATTAGTGCTGGGCCTTAGTCTTTAAACTGACATCCTTGCTCTTTAGCCCTTTAAAGAGGTCCCTGACTGCTGATTTGCCCATTGCAGTGTATCTTTTGAATTTTTGACTGCTCCTTCCATGGATGTAGATTGTTTAGTCAGAGAAAATGAAATCAGTTGACCCCTTCAGCCTTGATTCCATGATACTACTTTTTTGGACCATTGTGGGGATGTTTGTTTTCTTGATGTTGAGGTGCAGTCCATACAGCAGTCTTTGATGTTCTGCTTCTGAAATGCATTTTAAGTGCTCCAAATTGTCAGTTTCTCAAAGCAAGTTTGTGCCATTTGCATAACAAGAGTCATTGAATTATATACCTCTAGGTGGTTGAAGATTTGAGCATATGCTAAATGTTGCCCGTCCAAAATCTAATCTCTTTCCAGAGTATTAGCAGAAGTTTTCATGAAATGCCTAATAGTTGTTATGTGCCATAGAGATAGTCCTTAAACTTGCTCTATCCTGTGCCAACCTTATTGTCCCTGGAACACCTCCGCACATTACCCTAGTCACTGAATCAATCAATCGATCTCATTAAAGGCCTTCCTCTCTTTCTCTGTCCCTCCACCCTTCCAAGCAAGATGTCTCTATCCAGGGACCGTTCTCACCTTTCCATAGGCCCGATATGTGTCAGTCAAAGCCTCAGAATCCTTGGTTCTAAGGAGCAGCTTTGGTTTCCCCTCTCTAGAACGAACCTGTATATTT